GTACTATAGAACATTTTAGACACATTCTAGACAGTTTATCAGCTAAAAAAAGTTAATTTTGGGGTAAGTTACTCTTTAAAGAATGTTTTGAAGCTTTATTTTTTATTTTAATTCATCTTCTTTCCCCTTTTTTGTAAAAATGTTTAGTTTTTTTCAGTGTCTCATTTTACTCAGTCCTTTCTGAAAAGTTCCTGCATGAAGAATTTTGATCCTTAAATGTCAACTTTAACCTTATCATCATCATATTGTTTCATTAACATTCATTGTGTGTTGTGCTGTAACCTGGTACATGTGTGTTGCTTGGCCAGGCTTCCTTTATTACACACAGTTGCAGCAGTAAAAGCTGTGTGTTCAGGTATTTAGAAGTGTAAAGACTGTTATCTTGTCTATAATAGAGCTGATCTGAGTTTGAAATGATTCAGTTCCACAGTAGGGCTGCACTGTCAGGAAACCTGCCATGTGTAATAAGGCTTAATAATGGATCCTGATGATGATGTGACTTGTGATAAATGAGTGTATGCAGTGGTGATTATCTGCTGAGCAGAAAAAATAACTAATTTTATTTCCGTTCAAACATTTTATTTTTAATAAGTGCAACTGCTGTTGTTTAAACTGTACTTCATGCAGTACAGTTTAATGACTAGTACATCACTACAATAAAACATTTTCTGATGCTCTAAATACTGAAAACGCCCTTTTTTAAAACAAATAAGAAACCATCTGAAAATAAAGAATTGTAAATGAAAGTTAACCTAAATCTAGCTGCAAATTCTCTCATTGCAGTTTAACATTTTCACCTCTGATGTGAGACACCACATGATTTGATGTGGTGTCTCGAGTCCATTTAGTTTATCAGACTGATGCTGACGAAATGCATAAATGCAAATATTTGAGACAACCATTCATTGTAGTTTACCAGTTTTGTGGGATCTGTCTATTGCACAGGCTGTTATCATGATGAGGATAAGTTTGCCTTATATTGTGCAACCTCTGTCAAGTTTATTTGTAAAGCACATTTTAAACCAGGCCAGTTGGTCCAAAAGGCCTACGCTTTATCAAACTTCTTAGAGTGGAACTTTAGTCTTAAGTTTTGTAAATTTCTTAGATTTACTTCTACTCTTAGACTTGCTCTCGGACCAAGCAGATAATGACAGGGTGGTGTGTGTGTGTGTGTGTGTGTGTGTGTGTGTGTGAAGGGGGTGTTGTTGCAGGCAGTTTAGTGGAGAGGAGGAGGGTGCAAGTTCAACATTTCCTCAGGCTCTTAGATGTAAAAATAAACTTTAAAGCTGAGTTTTTGGAAAAAAGTCTTGAGATTTTCTTTATATGCCTGTTTTCATGATGCAAATGACATTTTATGTAATTTACACTCAGTACAATGTGACATGCATGAACATTGGTGCGCTGAAGTTATCTGAGTTTTATCTTGACATTTCTTAGAGAATCTTCTTGAACATGAAATCTGATGCAGTGATTGGTCCATGCCGGGGGTTTTGTAACAACGTCATCCAGGATCAGCTTTGTGGCACGGCTAAGTGTCGTAAATCAAGACTGACACTTAAGATTTACTCTTACACTTCACTAAAAGTTAGACTGAAATGCTTGATAACTGACTTTTAGGCTCAGATTTTAGCTAAGAATTATTTACAACTAAGTCCATTTTTAAGAGTAATTCTAAGACGTGTCCAGAACATGACCATCAAAAACAAAGCCAAAAAAAATCCAAGGAGTAGTTTAAAAAAATAGTAAAAAGATATGATTTAAAACAAACATGTCAAGCTCTACTAGAATCAAATGCCACTGAGAAACAAAGTATTTTCAGCAGAAATGTAAACTAGTCAAAGTCTGAGGACATTTTATTTGAACTGTTGAGTTATACTGTAGGTTGGGACCAGCTTCGTCACTTCTGACCCCCATCAGTACCAGTAATACAGTTAAACCTGTGGTTTTCAGTTCAGTTTTTAAAGCAGTATGAGAGAGCATTCCAAATACTGACTCAGTAAAAACAGCCTGTGATAGTTTATTTTTCCGTCTGATTTCAGGCTGAACATCATGAGGTTTAACGGACTCAAACCCACATTTTTCTCAGTCAGAGCCTATTCTCTGTTTTAGCATTTGTTCAATAAGGAAGTGATGGCCAGTTAAGATTTCTAACAGAGCTTGGATCTGTCTGTGGTGACAGCTTTCTTCTTTTCCACCTCCTCTGTGCTCACTGATGTGCACAGTGGCTCATCAGGAAAATATGTCTGTTAAAGACCTGCAGGTTCAAGCTGGGGCTTAATGTTAGACGTTAACCACGCCTGTTGTCAGCGTGAGAAATTTGCCACTAGTTCCTAATTTCATCCCAGAGCTGGCAGCACAGAACAGGGATAGCTCGTCCCAACCCTCCTCCAGGGGGAAAAAGAAACGTGCTTTAAAACAGCTGCTAAATCTGTTGTCAATGGTCAGAATGAATGACAGAAACCTGAACTATCTGTTTAAGATCTGATGACACAACTCTGTTTTTGTTCACATACTTCCTTTTGTTTCCAACAGACCTACTTTGTAACACTTAGCATTCTCCACAGTTACACCTGCTTTATTTATGTAGATAAAAGTTAATAAATATTAAGAAGAAGCTGAGATCTTGGTACAATTTAATAATTTTAATAATAATTTTTTTAGTAGTTTGAGGCCAATAAATAAACACCAGTGGGATCATTATTTTTCTAATTGTTATAAATTTGAGAGGCTAACTAATTCCTATTTTAGGAAGTAATAAATGTTCAAACATCTAGCTCTTTGTGTGTGTGTGTATTGTTTTTCTCTTATTAACTCCTAAAAATAGTGATTTAATGATGTCTGTTGTTGGTTCCAGGGTCAGGGTGCCATCACGGAAAAGCTACGTAGCCTGAGTATGCATGACCTGACACAGATAGACCAGCAGGAGGACCGTGGAGACCCACTGTACCAGTACAGCTCCCGATCCTCTAACCCAGCCACCAGGAGATCTCAAAGTACCAACTCTGCTGTTAAAGATGGTACACACACACACACACACACACACACACACACACACACACACACAC